ACCAGCTAATTAAGCTCTCACTAGATACTAGAAACTTCCTGGCAACTGTGTTGAAGCAAGTTGGAGCTGCACTATGCAGGACCGAGTTTGGACACCCCTGCTCTATATGAAAGTCAACCATTGCATAGAACCTAGTTACTGCCCTAATGCTTCACTGTCTGGAACACTTTGGCGGACACTGCAGAACGAAAATCCATATGGCAGCTTCTATTTCATTGACATTTATTATAGGTTAGCCACAGATGAATGTGTTTTGTCATTGTATTGATGGAAAGGAAGGTGGTGTGCAATGTTGACTGCTGTAAAGTGCAATAATCCCTAGCAGTTGACAAAGACGTTGCCAGGTGCCCGTGTCATACTCCTGCTGTCGAACAGGTGTCTGCTGTCTACCACATCTGGCTTCTTATCACCAAGCAAAGCTCTAGCTCTTGTGTACATGGCAATGGATGGTGGCGGACCTCTGTGGTAGAGTCATCCCTGTGTGAACATCCAAATGTCCATTTATATATATATATATATTGTCCGTCTATAGTGATCGATGATTGGCTCCTATACTAGTAGGCATGGCCATATTGAACACTACACTTTTCCCCATTCAAAAAGATAGTGACATGTCTTGTGTAGGCTGCTGGTGGCACAGTGAGGTGGCATTTTTGCCTCACAGAAAGAAAGGTCGCTAGTTCGAGTTTCGACTGGGTAAGGAGCGTTTCTGTGTGAAGTTTGCATGTCCTCCCTGTGTTCGTGTGGGTTTCCTCCGGGTGCTCCTGTATAGGTGAATTGGGTAGGATAAATTGTCGGTAGTGTATGTGTGTGAATGAGTGTGTATGTATGTTTCTCAGCGATGGGTTGCAGCTGGAAGGACATCTGCTGCGTAAAACATATGCTGGATGAGTTGGCGGTTCATTTCGCTGTGGTGACCCCAGATTAATAAAGGTACTAAGCCGAAAAGAAAATGAGTGAATTAATGAATGAATGAATGTCTTGTGTATTCTATAGTCTTTGTTACAGTGCACTAAAAGTTTTATAGTTGTCATGTATACGTTGAAGCTTGATAGTTATGTTCGTCATTTTTTTTTTAAATGAACACAATACGTATATCCTGAAAACACTATGCACTCTAAAAATGCTGGGATGTATAAACCCAATTTTGGGTTAAATGCTGACAAATCCAGCCTGATCTCACAAGGAAATGTAACTTTATTAGGTATTGTTTGAAAAGTGACATTTATATGAGTACGTAATATTTAATTTATATGAAAACAAACAATTTTTAATAGATGGCATAACCACAAACCTAACTCTACTTCTTATAAGGGGATGAGCAAATCATACTAGGGCCCATTCTCAATTCTACCCCTTAGCCCTTCCCCTTTCCCTTACTCCTCGTTTTGCATGTTCACGTGAAGGGATAGGGGTGTTCTAATTCTCTTTAGCTTGAAGGTTAGGGCTAAGGGAAAGGGCTAGCTACCCCTCAAAATGGAGATTTTTCAGAACTACACTTGAAATCTCAATTCCCAATCCCAATTCTACCATTACAGTCACAAGTTCATTTCCATATCGTTATGATAATATGATATTGTTGTCTTCAGTGATCTCCTGAAGATAAATACCAAAAACACAACGCAACTGGAATAACTACAGCAGTCGCGATCATTGATCTCATATGAAGCAAGAGATCATAATGACAAACGCTGATATGTGCAGGTGTTGTGTGCTGTCCTATTTCTTAGGGGTAAATTTTGAAGTCCTTAATTTTTACACTCTGTTTCAAGGGCCAAGGGAAAGAGGAAGGTGTAGGGGTACAAAAATAGAATTTGGATTGGGCCTAATTTTAATGAGTGAGATTACAAATTAAGATGCCAAGATTTCAAACTAATTACAAATTAATATAAATTAGACACTAAATCAAAGTTACACAATCAGATTGCATTGACAAATCCGACTTTTTGGGTTAGAGAGTTGAGAGGAGTTGTTTTAGTGTGTTATGATATTTTCCACTTGTTAAACCATTTGTGTTTCTGTCAAAGGGACTGGCATGGCAATAAATCTACACAACAGATATTTCCTAACTCTATACACCTGTTAAATTTTGCCTTATTTGTCATTATTTCAATTACATATGATGCCACGAGTAGATACTTATGTTGATTTCTCAATACTAAACTATAAACATTTGTTTCAGATAAATACTTTCGATGCTTTGCAGGATGATTAATTACAAATGTTCTTTAAATCAGCACTTGCATTTAAAATTCTGTTCAGACAGAAATACAATTATCTTACATTAAGGTAATAAACCTACTGAAACAAAAGAATAAAAATGACCAAAATGCATAACTACTTAAAATAAATATGATGTAAAACCAATACTATGTAGTAATGATCTGTAGAATGTGAATATGTTGGTCTTTTGAGTTACTGTCTTAAATGTGATGGTCTCTGTCATACTGAGACGTGAGGTGGCTGTTTTTAATGCTGCTGTCTCTCTGAAGAGAAAAAGAGAGAGTCTGGGAGTGTCTGTCATATTAGATGGATCTTTTGCCAGACGGAACTATCAATTATTTACAAGGGAACTTGCTCGCTCATAAAGAGCATGAGAAATGCCAAAGCCTGAAATGGCACGACAGGCTATGGAAAGGTCAATTCATCTGTGTTGCTCTTCAAAAAAAAAGAGGATGTATTAATAACTATTTTATTTGACCAGCCACTGTGAGAAGTCATCCCGAATGTCACAAACACACTTGTGATTGTCCTTGTGTCCTGAAGCTACATCGCTGACAATTTCAAATATCAAGTTAACTCTAATATCTTTTGTCAATGTTAACCAAAACAAAGTGTCCCTACAGCTTGGCAGATATTACTGAGAAATGGTTGTTCTGAGAGATCATGTCTGTGTAAACAGCACAACGGAGTATGACTGCATAAGCCAAGCAGAGCACAATATCACTTTGGAGGTGGAGTCTAAATACGTATGTTTTGCTGGCACATGGAATTGCACATTTGGCACAGAAATTTAGTGAAATTACAAGCTAAAAGTACTGACTGCAAATATGAGCTGCTGTGGATTGCAATGCAATAGACTTGGTTTTTGTTGCCCAATTTGTCTGGTGTCAATTCCAGTAGTATTATTTTTTTATTCACTTTCGCCATAGAGATCATAAAAACTGTTATCAGCCATTAACCAAGCTAACCAACTAAGAGTTGAATCACAACATTTTAAAGTTTTCTTTAATCAAACAAAAATGAGCATTGTGTAAAAAAAAAAAAAAAAAAAAAAAAAAAGTCTGGTTCAAAATGATGCAAGGAGAAATACAAGACCGGTCATTTAAGGCTTTAATTATATCTGTTGAAATCAATTTTGTTTCTGTATTATGCATACATATTTGAATTTAAATGTAGCGAGACTAAAACCAATTTGCAAGATGTTTTGACAATGTGTTAATCAGCTGTTTAACATGATTATAGACAGACAAGTGTTTAATAAACTAGTTTTCATTTCTGTAATTTGACTTGCACTGTTCTTTGTTCAGAAAAGGTTCTTTGACTTTAAGAGTATTTGTGAGTAGTTCATGTTTCTCATTTCCCATTTCATCAGGTTTTTACACCAATATAAGCATGATCATGTCCGCATGTTCCAACAGCTGAGGTAAAGAATTAGCACAGTTACTGAATGGCCCTTTGTTAAAGTCACTCTCCTAAGCACTGATTCAGCAGTCCAGCTCTGGCACAACACTAGATTCTTCAAATACCTCTTTAACAAATGCAACTTGCGTATTTCAATCCACACAATGGTGTATAAGTACAATGATTAAAAAAAAAAAAAAAAAAAAAATGAAGAACCTTAATGTTAAATTGATTGATGCAAAAACCCCCAAGTGCTGTCTGTAATTTTTTTTCTCCAAAATGAGCATTTATTTATTTTATTTATTTTTTTGTATAAAAATTTAATTGTATTTAAAGTAAAATCTAAACATAAACAATGGAGGCTGAGAAAATGCTAATTTTAAAAGAAAAATTCATTGTCTTTATATGAAGAGTTTAAGTGTCAAAACCTCTAAATGCCGTCTAAAATTTTCAGCTAAAATTAGCATTTTCATCAAACTCCTATGTGTGTTCACTAATATCATGTTTATGCCAAAGAATAAGCCATATTGTCTTTAATGTGAAAACTCAAAATAAAGAAGGCTTAGAAAAATGTTTGTTTTAATGGAAATTTTAGATGGCACTTAGAGGTTTTTGCATCTGAACTCTTCATATAAAAATATTAAAATTGCACACAGACACACTTATATTCCATTATATGATACAAACAATACCTAATCTAGAATATTGATTTTAAATAATAGTAATAGTACATCCAGCATTGTAACATGGATGTGTAAATATCAGAAAGCACCATTACAGTTGCACACATTTGGAAATTCAATGCAATGAAATTACACCAATAAATTACAATTAATATAAAAAATACTTATTAAATTACAAATCTAGATTTTAACCTAAATCTTAGAATTGAAATTTGACAGTATTTGGTAATTGGGCTCTTCCCCCCCCCCCCCTTACACATCTGACTTAAGTTAACTGAATCTGTGGGTCCTCTGTACACTGCAAAACAATGTTTATGGATCTACAATAGTCTTGAAACTCATGGGTAATCATCATGACCTCACAAAAATGATCCTCACCAGTCTCCAGATGACGCTTGCAAAGTCAGACAGCAGCTTGTTCTTTTTGATGACTATTACCTGGAAATAAGGTCTCTTGTGAAATTTACAAAGCAAATTTACTTCCCCATTTTATTGAGTCATGATGCTGTTTTAGAAAACTGTCTAGCCAGTCACATGATACTGACTGAAGCTCAAATGTAAAAAAATACAAGAAAGAAATTTTAGTTAGGATTCATTTTATATGATTAATTAAAACTGCAGCTTCTATAAAAACTCTAAAATGTTATACGAAATAGACACACACACTAACAGTGACTGTTTTTGTCTCCACAGGTGCTCTACACAACTGTCCAGATGGGTTGCAGTTGCTGTAGGATGATAAAAAGGTATAATGTAACACAAATATTAAACAGACTTTTTTTATTCTCATGTATGGTGTCCTACAGATCTTGAATTTTCTCTCGCATAACTTCTGTTTAACAGCTTAATGCGTATAGTCTTTCTAAAGCTGAGGTCAGCTGTCAGCACTGTTCTGCCCCCTGTCAGTAGATTTCTTCTTTAGATTGTATATTTTACTTCAAAATGTATAGGGATTGTTGTGATTTATGGAGTTTTTTTCAGAGTAAAAACATGCACAGACATTCACACTCTCAAACAGCTCTTTAATTGCTCAGAATGTCACATTTCTGGGCTTAGCTTGAGCTGCATGAATTGCCACAAATACTGCAAATGCATGCTTTCTTATGGCATTTAACATCAGGTTGTAGTCTAATTGGCTTTGTGTCAAATCTGCTGAACAACACCCACACATTTTAACTCTGTTTATATGTGTTGGTCATGAGAAAAGCACTTATAAGTACATCTAAGTGTTTAGTAAGAGTATCTAGTGTGCTGATACTCAATAAATAAAATTGTATTTTGATACCACATGTTCTTTTGACGTATATCACAAGGGTGTCAAATCCTAATTCTACAAGGCTGTTATTGTTGTACTAAAGCAGGGGTGGGCAAACTCTGTACTGGAGGGCCAGTGTCCTGCACAGTTTAGCTCCGCCTCTAATCAAACACACCGGCTTATAGATTTCTAGTGATCTTAAAGAAACTGATTAGCATGTTCAGGTGTGTTCGATTAGAGTTGGAGCTAATCTGTGCATGATACCAGCCCTCCAGGACTGAGTTTGCCCACGGCTGTGCTAAATACTGTGTTTTATATAACCCTCAGTTAAGAAATGTATCATCATTGTTTGCATTTTTTTTTTTTTTACTTTTCATTGGCTTGGTAGTATTTTCACGAGTGTGCTTCAAATCTCTGAAAACTTTACACTGATTCAATACCTGATGTCATGATTTCTTTGTAGTTGCACATAATCATTGTTTCAGAACACAAGATCATTGTGATGTCACCAAAACACAACAGTAAGATCTTTTTAACTTAGTACTTTCAATGTAACAATCAGCTAATTCAATAGCAAACAATACAGGGTACAGGTTTCAAATTGCCCTCATTGCTGAATGAATGTTGCTGTAAAACAGCACACGCAGCCTTCATAGCCTTCACGTTAAATATTATGTTCAGAGTCAGACAATCTAAAAAAAAAAATAATAATCTATATATAAAAAATATATATAGAACATAAAAATGTAATCAAAGAACACACATTTTTGATTTGCATATTGCATACGTTTACTGAAGGCTAAAAGCTTTTTCAGTCATTTGTAACTTGCAAATTATCAGAAAACAATCAGACTAGATGGGAATCTGTGGATATAATAAAGGACTCTTTGATTAAACGATAAGATCAATTTAATGGTAGACAAATGTATTGTACTAGATAAGACATGCAACTCAAAACTGCAGTTACTGCACCTTAATTAAACATGCATATATTGTAGATGAAACTTATTTTGTGAAGTTGATTTTGTAGTTTTGATTATGTGCATTGCACTAGCACAGTTGAAAATTGGCTGAAATGTTTACATGAAGTGCACTATTGATTATCTGTTGTGCTTTAAGTACTAAGTTTTAGGTTTTTAAAATTTTCCATTGCTTTGTGAAAACTGTGCCAAACCAATAAAAATACATGTAAAAGGGGGTTTAGCATTGATTTTTGTGGTCTTGAAACCATGCTCCATGTAAACACTGCATTTTGTCAAATTACAAGCCTCATGCTTACATGCTTTGGAAAGTCACAAAAACACAGTGTATTGTATATTTAAGAGTTATTTCATCTTGTTTAATATAGTTCACTCAATTGTGAAACTTCGTCAATATTTACTTGCAGTCCACACTTTTATGAATTTCTTTTGTTGAACACGCAAGATATTCTGAAAAATGCTAGAAACAACTGACTTCTATTTTATCCCTTATTTTATTTTCTATTTGTATAAAGGATATAACTGATGATCATGAAAATCTGACACGTATCAAGTATGCAGATGACATGGCATAATTAACCAAATTTTGCCAATTTTATCTCGAGTTGGGCAACAGAGAATTCCTTGCAGCTTAACATAGTAAGATGAAAGAAATGTGTTGTGGGGCAAACAAAATACGAATATTCGATTCGTGCTGAATATTCGTGCTGTAATCGGGCCATAAAAGTAAGGCCTGACAGAATTCGGCCAATCAAAAACATTTTGATTGATAACTTTTTAAAAGCCTGAATCTGCCAGACATGATTCAAATGTGCACATGCACACAGCCCTTTTGCCTTATTTTAAGAATTAGTTTGTACATGTTTTAACATAAGGCCACATTGAAGATGGAACAATGAAATAAATTAAGCCCTCTGTAACATCTCAGGGCTTTAAATTGGCCTAGGTACATACACTTACCATTTAAATGAAGATAAAGACTCTGTGGAATTTGTTTTGCCACTTTTCTTCACAATTCAGCCTTAAGGCAATAGTGAAGCTGAATAATAAAAGAATTATGCCAACATTAGCCTATATACTCTGTCTACATTATGCATTTATGACTTAATAAAAATTTTGTTATAATTTTTAAATTCTTTATTAACCAATATTAGGCTAGGTGTAAGGTGGGGGAACATTATTTAATCCACTGTAGATGGCTTTAGTGCGAACCTGCGCTCATTGATGGTGCGTCCTGCAACACTGAATACTCTTTCACTGCTGCTTCTTTTTTTTTTTTTTCCTCCATGACAGCTTGCTGTACATTTTCCCACTCCGCAAAATTCGCTCTCTGACTTCTGTCATTATTTGTTTCACCTTTGCAAGGATAGGCTTTGATCTTGTAACAAATGATTTAATTACTTTTGCATGCTAAACGAAATGCATCACATGAATGTTCATTTACCACGCAAGCCAGAGTGCGAGCGCAAGCCCCAGCCAGTCTAAAATGATTGAATTTAAGCCTGAACCCATCGGTTTCTTCGGGTTTAGGCAAAGAGCTTCAGATTCGGTGACCCTCTGTTTATTAATAGTGAGGAAATTGAACAGATGAGTTCTTTGAAATATTTAGGTGTGGAAATTAACGTTCAATTCTCTTTTGATATACACAGATAATGTTTTTAAAAAGGCTCAGCAGCTGTTGAATTTGTTGAAAACTGAGAAATTATGATATTGAGAAGTACATTTTGATTGTCATATATAAATCATTTATTGAGTCTATCCCTACTTTTAACATTGTTGCCTGGTTTAACTCCCTCTCTGTTAAAAGCAAAAATAAACTTTTATGGTTGGTAAACGTGGCGAGTAAAATAATTGGTGAGAGACAAACACCTCTCACTGATTTATTTAAAGTAGCAACAAAAAGAAAAACCTCCACTATTGTGGAAGACTCCTCCTATTCTTTACATAGTTCCTTTAAGTTATTTATGTCTGTAGATGTTATAAAGTCTCTTTAGCAAATAAGGCTAAGTACATGAAGACATTTATTCCCACTGCCATTGGTTGTTTTAAATAGGAAAACAATTGTGTAAGTGCATTTGTTTTGTTTGTGTATGTGAGCTTATGTCTAAAGACAATTTTCTGACCCCTGTGGGATGGATATAAAGTTTATTGAATTGAATACTAGGAAAAAAAAAAATACTAAGGAACTACTGTAAATGGATGCTTCTTTCCAACAAACGCCATCTTTTGTGTTCAACAGAAGAAAGAAACTCAAACAGGGTTGGAACGGGTAAAGGCAGAGTTAACTATCAACTATCCCAAAAATGAAACATTACACAATATTTACTCACCCTCAAGTGGTTCCAATCTTTTGTGTTTCTTTCTTCTATTGAACACCTGTAACTATTGAATTCCATAGTAGAAAAAACAAAAACAAACAAATACTATGGATATCAATGCTTAAAGGTTTCCAGCTTTCATCAAATTCTTCTTTGGTGTTTAACAGAAGAAAGAAACCGACTTTTAATGTTGGGGTGATCCATCTCTTTAAATGGACAAAAAAAAATGTTGGATTTTCACTGCAAAAAGTCCATTCTGTAAAACTTGTCTACAGTACAAGGATGTGCTGAGCTAAAGCCTTTATGTAAATGAGTTACATACTTTGTTGATTCAGTCAGTGACACTATGACGCAGCAAATATGCTAATAAGATCCTAACCTGGGGTTTAGGAAGTTTAGTGTCAAATGTCAGTTAATGATTAATTGTTAACCCCAGGGAAATTGTAAGCAGTGTCCAGTTTGAAGCTTAAGTTAAAGCAGAGAAGTTTTTTAGGTCTCTAAATTATCTGGACCTCAGAAAGTGCATTTGGAAATGATTTATGCATCTGCACACAAGTGTTAGCATCTTGCTAAAATAAAGGTTTGAAACTGACTACATTACAATTTTTTATTTATGCATTTAGAATTACTGTGACTTTTTTTCTTCAAGTGAAAAAGTCAGTGATGCAAAAATTACAGAATCCTCCTACATTTTAGATGAGATGGTTGGTATTATTTGCACATTTTTGAAAATCCATGAGGAAAACGGGTGGATTAGGGTGGATAAAATGTTAATTAAGTTCCCAGGTTTTTATTGCGTCACTTCAGATCTGGCTGCTAATAAATATTAGCATTCTACTTCTCTGTTGCAACTTTAACCAAAAAATAAAAAATAAAAAATCTCATCGCTTGGCAGTGTATGTTGTTTTATGAGGATAATGTTTACTGAGAGTTATATTTCTCATCCTGTCAGGTAGAGTGGAAAATTCCATTTCATCTACCATAAAACTGTTAATCTGAAATGGATTTCAGCTAAGATGGGTGCTCAAATGAGAATTTATAATAAAGATATATATAATGAAAATGGCTCTAGTAATGCATCGTATCAAACACACTAAACATCTGAAATATGGCACTGCATTCTACACAAAAGACAGACAGATAAATGCAAAATACATCTATTAAGGTTGACATTGGTTGTGTAACCTGCCTGCCATTTTCCGTGTGGATTTTCAGCAGGCAGAAGGTGTGAAAAACAGAAGGATCTCAGCAGGAAGTGTCTGACAAAAACACTAGGCTCATTTCGCAACACTCTATTTGAGATGCAGGTCTCCCTTTCTTGTTCAAACTTCTTGCTTTTTTATTTACAGCCTCTTTAATATTATAATTTACTGTAATTTTTACAGACAGAAATATTGTTTTGTTGCTTGGAAAATCAAATAGCTAAAAGAGTCAAGAAAACACAACAGGCTGTTGTCATTCACAGGCGTGTTTACAATGTCGTCTGCTGTACTGGCTGTGCTTTCGTCAGTATAGACGTTTGCCTGTGCTATGCAAATCATGAGTGAATTCAAATGCCCTGTAGATATCAGGTTTCAAAAATAAAGAAAGAGAGAGAGCGAGACTGTCATTTGCATTCTGTGATGAAACTGACAGACAAGTACAATTTATAAAGATTATGATTTGGAATGATGGGGCAGATTGGACACCAGATAAATGGAGAACAGCTGAGTTTGATTGTGTACAGATTTTGACAGGATTATTTTTACAAGAAGAGTCCAAACATTTTATTGAATGCCTCAAGAAAGAAAGAAAGAAAGAAAGAGAGAAAGAAAGAAAGAAAGAATAAAAGAAAGAATATTTCAAGATTAGAATTTAAATTATTTTATTAATGTTTAAATTTAATAATTTTATTAGTGATTCTGATACGTCTGTGGATTTAATTTAATTGTGCAGTTTGCATCAGATCATTAGTAAATAAACCATGGTTGGTCTGTGTTAGTTTGTATATAACTAATAGTTAAAAGCTCCCCTTGCTTGAGAGGATAGGCATTTGCATTTGTTTGCAGTTTTTGTCCCATACAAATCTGTTAAATAATAGAAAAGTACTGAAAGCTTACTTACCTTTTTTTTTTTTTTTTTTTTTTGTAATTTTGATCAATTTTGGCAGTAAATCTTTTCAACTGTCAAAATTCTCTTTCTTAGATAGCTGAGATTTTATTTTTATTTTTTTGTGTGTAAATCGTTGTTGCAGCAGAGGTCCCATGATCCTATAATAGAATTAATTGAAATGGTAAATAAATAACTAAAGGGGTGGCGACACAAAGCTCAGTGGTTATAGCACTGTTACCTCACAGCAAGAAGGTCGCTGATCCGAGTTTCGGCTGGATCAGTTGACATGTCTGGTGTGGCGTATGCATGTTCTACCAGTGTTTGTGTGGGTGCTGTGCTGTGCTGGCAATTAAATCCACAACCTTCAGATTACAAATCCAATTCTTTAATCGTTAGGTCTATGAAACTACTGAATGCAACTGTGTGCAATTGAATCTGTTTGTATGTCTCAAAATATATATCTATTAAATAAATATGTATATGTAAAATAATTTTTATACTTACAAGCATCAAATAGAACAAATCAAACATGTTTAGTTGTGAACGTGCCAGGTGAACAGTATTTAGCAGTAAATTAGTTCCTTTTTGCAACAGCTAGGAAACAGCTCATGTTGCTAAATGGGTCATTTTTAACAATTTTTTTAAACTTGATGTACAAATACTTCTGTTTAGTATAGTTTTTGTATAAGTTTAAAACAATATATTTGGTGAAAACCTGTAATTGTAAACCACAAAATGCATTTAACTTCAATTCAATTCAGCTTTATTTGTATAGCGCTTTTACAATGTAGATTGTGTCAAAGCAGCTTCACATAAATGGTCATAGTAACTGGAACAGTGTGGTTCAGGTTTTAGTGTTTAAGTTCAGTTCAGTTCAGTTTAGCTCAGTTCAGTGTGATTTAATCATTACTGAGAGTTCAAACACTGAAAAGCAAATTCATCGATGCGTAGCTCTACCAATCCTGAACCATGCGAGGCAGTGGCGACAGCGGAGAGGGAAAAAAAACTTCACCTGATGGGAGTGAAGAAAAAAAACCTTGAGAGAACCAGACTCAGTTGGGCACGACCATTTTAATTTCTTACTTAAAGATTTAAACTTGAACTTAAAGATTCTGCAAAAAAATTATAATAAATGCTCAGCTATGATAGAAATAACATAGGAAAACACTGTGATTTTTCATCCATTCTGTCCATTAAAAGGGTATATTGACAGTGGTATTGATTTATATTCAAAAAGTAAAAAAGAAAAAAAAATAATAAAAACAATACAAGTCTTTGAGCGTGATGAAGATAAAATCTTGCAAAAATACAGAAAAAAATTAATGTAGTCAAGTCACTTTAGACCCATGTTGTGCATCAAAGGGTTAACATAGTGATTTTTACATCACCTCATAATTCAGTTTCTCATGAAATCTTACAAATCAAATTTTCTCTGGTATTTGATGTGTCCACCTCCTTCAAGACATTATTACAGATGCTGAAATGTGTTTAGTCATGTCAAAGAGCATACTTACTGAGGGTTTGTCTAAACACTTGCAAATATTAGAAAACAGATAAACGATAGCCAAACTGTGTTGATCTGAACTCAGCAAACCCCAAAGGAGAAAATACATTGCACACATACACAAGCACAGTCAGCACACAGGAAAATAAGCAGGAGATTCAAAATTGAAAGTTGCACAGATATCTTTATTTGGTGAATAGTTGTACTGTATATAGGGATACAGATGGACAACTTGCACTTATTTTCATTATTTTTGGGAATGTCCTGCACTTCATTGTTTTTTTGTCTCAGCTGGCTCATAATATCTCATTTTAGTTAGGAAAAGATGTACAGTAGAACTGACTCCAGTGTGCTTTTTAAAAAAAAAAAAATTTATTCTAAATAAAAACTTGTCACTCTCCACACAACTTAACACTTAATCATAGCCAATTTCACAGCTGCTAAGGAAATTTTGTTCTGCCACTGGATTCCTTCTTGTATAAGTAGACACCAATGGGTTCTATCTTTGCCTTTTAATATTGTCAAATATTTAGTTTCTGCCTTCTAATATACAGCTTTTCTGTTTGTATATACATTTTGTATCTCATGATGTAATAGTTATTTATTTGTACTTTTTTAACTTCGACTCTTTTTAACATTATTCGTGTTTTAATTTCTGTCATTATAGAATAAGTCTCTCTGGGTGGGGGTGGCGTTTTACGATCTAGTCTTGTGCTGTATTCTCTCTATATTAAACAAAACTGCAATAATATTAACAATTGTTCACAAAAGACGGTGTAAATATATTTTCCAAACAGTGAATTTAGTCTGATTTTGTGTTGATGTTAAAGAAACCAGTACAGCACTGAGTGGATCATATGCACTAGTCTATATAGACCACAAAAAGGAACGGACCTATTTGAATTATAAGAGGAGATACAGTGAGTCACACTAAATATTACTACTAAAGACTGTGCCACTCATGAGTCTGATAAGCTTCAGCTCTGACTGGTACGACTGTCATATAAATTGAATGCCATTGGCTGTATTTTAAAAAGTGGGAGGAGCTACTCCTGTGTCCTCCCTTCTCCTCCCGTTTCAGTTGGATTACGTCAAACTTTGAATAAGATCAAACTACTAACTTACAATAAAATAAAACAACACAATTCTTGAGATTTATTAATTGTTTTATGTTCAGCAATTCTGTTAACTTATTGTTTGGAACACTGCATTTTTACAGTGTCTACACTGGTACAAACTGAGCTTGGGCCCTTCAGATTTTAGCTTTAGCCCTATTTAAACGCACATGATCAACCTAATTGAGTCTTTTAAGATTGTTTGAAACCTACAAGCAAGTTTGAGTTTGACACCCCTGGTATACGTGTTGCCAGTGTTTTTTGATTCATTGATTCATTAATTTTTTTCCCCTTGATTAATCTGGGGTCACCACAGTGGAATGAACCGCCAACTTATCAAGCATATGCTTTACACAGCGGATGCCCTTCCAGCTGCAACCAATCACTGGGAAACATCCATACACACTCATTCACACACATACACGGACAAATTTAGCTTACCCAATTCCCCTATGTCTTTGGATTTGTGGGGAAAACCGGAGCACACCAAGAAAACCTTAATACATGCAAACTCCACACAGAAATGCCAACTGGCCCAGTCAAGGCTCGAACCAGCGACCTTCTTGCTGCGAGGCGACAGTGCTACCCACTACGTTATTATGTTATAATGTTATTTTCTACTACAACTCCGCCAAAAGTTACCTTCTTTCAACCTTCTGATTAGTCTCTTTTCTGTTTCAGCTACATCTATGACCCCTCGGTTCCTGTAGATGTTCCTGGCCGAAAGCGGGATCCCACCAGCAGCTCTCTTTATCAGTCTCACAGATTCCCCGAAGAGGCAGACCATGTCCAGAAGAAGCAGGGCTTCCACAACCTTGGATACAGCACCCACCCCAGCCCAACCAAACTCGACATTGACAACAACCACATCAACCGGCTCCATGCCAATATTCCAGGCGAGCAGATCCGGTCAACCCCAGCAGAGGGAGATCCGAGACTTTACATCCTCCAGCCAGAAGACAAGGGGACGCAGGTAAAAGCCGTTTCTAGCATCTGCGTCGATCCACCAATACAGAACGAGTCTATGCTTGGAACAGAACCAGGCAAGCGAGAAGACAGGTTTCGGGACTCTGGGCTGGGCGGCGGAGGGATAACAGACGGAACAGAAGGTTCAGATGGGTATCCTTATGGACAAGAGGAAGAAGATGAAGATGGGAAGAGCAAACTGGCCAGGACTCCGGACACTGCCGATGAGGAAAGTGTGCTGTCTGTGGACATTCACACCAGCAGTACAAGCCTCTCCTCAGCGGACACAAAGCTCATGATAGAGGACAGAGAAGAGCAAGAGTCATCCATTTTGACAAGAGGGCAAGAGAAAGAGCTTGACTGTGTGAGCATCACAGAATCAATGGTGGCTGAAGCTTTGGCCGCACTGGACGCAGCAACAGCAGGAGAGGATTCTGAATGATGACCAGGTGACACTTCTTAAAGGGAACACTGGGTGTAAAGACTTGTGTGCTTTAATATAATGTAAATGCTGCCTCTTTATGAAATATGTAGACAAAAAAAAAAAAAACATGACACATTTACGGTATTTAAAAAAAAAAAAAACACACATGCACTTTGGACCATAGGTGATTATGTAATTTTTGATTATGCAATCTGCTTGCTCACCCTACACCAGGGGGGTCGCTAGACCCCATTAACTGGGGCCCCAGTAAAAATTGCCAGTGCCCCAGTAAATTTGAGATATAATTTACTTCATATGCAAGTGTAATGATTAAGAGTGGTAATTCTAGAATAAAGACATTATTCTCTATGTGCAACTGAACCAATGCTGATGAAAGCAATGTAGTTTAATCAAATAGCAAATTGAGCATGTGCGCAGAAAAAAAAAATATATATTTTTTTTGCACATGCACCACTCCTGCTTGACGCTGACGTGGTCCCGGTCCAGTTGTAAACATGCACGCAGAAAAGTAGCCACGTCCCTCATACGTTGTAAAACCAGCATAGCAGTCTTTTATGCTGAGGTGTCGGCACGCGTTGAGTTTTGCAAGTCAACAAAACAAACTTTAACTAATATGATGGTAATCTTATTTAGATTAGGCATGGCTCCTGATTTATATTTTTTGTATGAAGCAAAAATGAGGCATGATGAGTCAGGGAGGTAAGACTTGATGTACCTAATTCTCAACCATGAGTTGGGTCTAATACAACACACAACAGCTAATTCTTTAAAACATATATATTTTTAATTTTATTGAATTGTTTATAGAATTTCATTCTAATAAAATGAATATTTATGCAAAAGATTTCTTAAATTATCTTAGCATCACTCCAGTTGTGTCATTTGGATTTATATATATATATATATATATTTATTTATTTATTTTTTTTTTTATTTTTTTTTTCCCCCAACACATTTCTAAACATAATAAGTTTAATAACTCATCTCTAATGACTGATTTATTTTATCTTTGCTATGATGACAGTAAATTTATATTTTACTAGATATTTTTTCAAGACACTTCTATACAGTTTAAAGTGACATTTAAAGTTTAACTAGGTTAATTAGGTTAAATAGGCAGGTTAGGGTAATTAGGCAAGTTATTGTATAATGATGGTTTGTTCTGTTGACTATCGAGAAAAAAAAAAATACCTTAAAGAAACTAATAATTTTGTCTCTAAAATGTTTTTAAAAAAATTTAAACCTGCTTTAATTCTAGCCAAAACAAAAATAAAACATTCTCCAGAAGAAAACAATTCTTATAAGACATACTGTGAAAATTTCCCTGCCTTGTTAAACATTGTTTGGGAAATATAAAAAACACATCATGTCTGTTATTTTTTTTTAAAAGGCCATTTTATGGACAATTATTAGCCCCTTTGGGCTATATTTTTTTAGTAGTCAACAGAACAAACCATTGTTATACAATAACTTCCCTAATTACCCTAGCCTGCCTAGTTAATCTCTCTAACCTAGTTAAGCCTTTTAAAAATCACATTAAACTGTATAGAAGTGTCTTGAAAAACATCTAGTAAAATTATGTACTGTCATCATGGCAACGATAAAATAAATCAGTAATTAGAAATTAGTTTTTAAAACTATATTTTATACAAGCAATTAAGTTAACTTAAACGATTTGTGTTAAGACAACATGAAGGTATTGTCTAGAACCCTGCATTTTTTTAAAGTGTACTCTGCAAGTAATGCTTTTTTTTTTTTACTCAGAGTTTTTCTCTTGTTATCTAAAATTTCTTAAATCAAGAAGCATTTTTCTAGACAAGCAAACAAAATTATTTTGCTTTTAGAATGAATGTCAAAATAAATGAATTTTAAATTAAGTTTTTCCTTAAAAAAAAGCAAAATACTCTTATTTTAAATCTTAAACAAGATTATTTTGCTAAATGGCAATGATAGCAGCTATTGTCCAATATACATGTGAATTTCTTTTTTAATTACTGTAAACATGTTGTGTGTTTTTTTTTCTACATGTTACAAAGAGGCTTCATTGACATTGTAGTGCGTCACACAAGTCTTGATACCCAGGGATCTCTTTAATGGAATATTTCCATGTACACTCTTTTGATGCCCTCAACATTTGAATACAGCCAAATAATCGTGCTCATAAAACGAGAAGCTTCCCTACAGCCTGTTTGTAGGTGCTTTTATTCCGAATGGAAATAATCAAATGAAGACTTAATAACAGGAACTAGTGCTTGTTTACACACAAAAACTGGCCACTTACGAGACTTACTTGAGCAACTGAAGGTCATCGGAGTCATGGACAAACTCCATTTTTAGACCAAACAGAGGGAACTGTTGCAGGATTATCCTCAGTGCTTTTGTGTACACAGAATAATAATGAAATAAGCTCTGTTTCTTATCCACAGATATTTTTTCTGCTCCACAACTTGATGAAAGAACTTTTTTTTTTCTTTTTTCTCCCTGGTAGCGTCTGTGTGGAGGCGCTTCAATCAAAGCTCCATGTAATTATTTTCATACATTTTCTATACAAGAGGTGGTTAAAATCTAATAAGCCAGTATATTGGTGTGGGGTTACTTCTGTGCCTATTGTACTTTCAAAAACCATACGTGATTATCAGACTGCTTAATACAATCTAGCTCATTCATCTTAGACTCTGATCAATATGCTATTTCTCACTGTTACACTGTGAATACATCTTAGATATCTTAGAGCTGTATGCAGGTGTGCTTTATATGTGCATTTAAATGTACAGGAAGAAGTGTAAGGAGATTTCGGGTGAATCTCGTAAAATCATATTTCAAACTTAAAAAAAGGAAATTAATTGCCTGATAAAAAGTCTTTAATTCCTTGGGCTCGTCGCAGAATGAACTGCCAACTACTCCAGCATATGTTTTACACAGTAGATGCCCTTCTAGCTGCAACCCAGTACTGGGAAATATCCATACACACTAATTTACACACGCATACACAACGGCCAATTTAGTTAGTTAATTCCATGGATTCCGCTACATTCATTCTTCCATGGCAGGACACCACACCAAAATTAATTCAGCCACGGCTACTAGCTTCTCAATGAAAACATTTAGTCGTTATTTTTTTAACAGCAGGTTATAATCGCAGCAAAATGTATTAAAAAGTATGTGAATTATAACAGAGCAAATGTTTTTGTAACCATAGTAGTGCTATTTGCTTAATACATGCTGAATGACTAGTGCGTAATGCATGAGGCCAGCTAACAAGATGTAGCTTTCAGTTAAGAAGAACACCGTTTCCATTATTATACTTTATAGACAAAGGTCTGTGGTTCTGCATATAATGACTTTATCTTGCTGGAGTTTATAGCCGTTTCACTTTACTTCAGAACGTATTAATGCTGCTCTGTAGGTCTATTGGAGACATTCATGAATATTTCTAGCCAATTTAATATATGTTGGAGACATACTCGTTACATAAACGCACTAAATTGCACTTTTGCACCGTTTATTTGAGAGTGTGCAAGAGGTTTTGAGCACGAACAGAATAAATTGGCGTGCAAGCAAAGAGATATGTATGTTCGTATTACATAAATGCCATCTCGACATAATACTGCACTCACCACATTTGTCATTGAAATAACGCCATAGGTAGTTGGAAGATCTGTGCAAAAGGCCTGCCACCACAGCTGGAAAAAATCCTAGAGGAAACACTGAATTCACCAATAGCGCATGTCTGATCCAGCCGAGGCTTGAACCAGCCACCTCCTTGCTGTGAGGCGACAGTGCTAACCACTGAGCCACTGTGCCACCCCAAAAAGGAAATTATATAATTATTATTTAATGCCTAGTTTAAATGATTAATCGGTAACACTTTATAATAACTACACACTATAAATAATTTATCAAGCATTAGCAAATAGTGAATTCATTATCTATTAAGCATTAACTCTACATTAATAAACGTTAGTAAACACTTTATAACTGCAGCTACAAATGCTGTATTCTTGACTTATAACCACATTTAAAATGTGCTTAATAATTGTATTTGTTATACTTAGTAAATGGTTAATTTTTCATTACTAAATTAAATATCGCATTATTTACAAACCAATTGTATTTAAGAGTAGTTGAGGGTTTTTAGGATCATTCAGGAATATATGCCTGAATAATAAGATATACAAGCGTTAATTTCAATAGTTTATTAATCATTTACTAACTCATTCTGAATGATCCTAAAAACCCTCAACTACTCTTGAATACAACTGGTTTGTAAATAATGCGATACTTAATTTAGTAATGAAAAATAAATCATTTACTAAGTATATAAATACAATTATTAAGCACATTATAAATATGGTTATAAGTCAAGAATACAGCATTTGTATCTGCAGTTATAAACTGCTTACTAACGTTTATTAATGTAGAGTTAATGCTTAACAGATAATGAATTCACTATTTGCTAATGCTTAATAAATGATTTAAAGTGTGTAGTTATTATAAAGTGTTACCGATTATTCTTATTGATTTGGTAAATAATGTATTATTTAAAATGTGCTAGCATACAATATAACACAATAATTATTAATAATAATACAATCAGAACAGTAAAAATAATGTGACAATGAGTGTGCAATGAATCTTAATGCTACATTATTTATGCCAAGTACTTTCCTATTCTTCTTTTTTTATTTTGAAATATGATGCATTCGTGATTCACCCTTGTATATTTATGTTCTTGGTACGCTGTGGATCATTAGGGTTGAAAAAAAAAAAAATAGCATGTTGAGGAACTGGGCCAGTGATGGTAGTTCTATACAAGTCCTTGTTAACTATCAGAGGCCTGACGAAAAGAAGTGTGCTATGAACACTAATTGCTTTCTGTCCTTTCTGCTGCTCATATTCCACACAGACATTAGTGAAGGAATGTTTTTCAAAAGATTATCTGGCTGTTTCTCAATTTTAAGGATGCAAAGAAATGAACTCGCGCTCTTGTTGAGACCGGTTCTGCCAAGTTACCTCAGAAGAACGAACTCGGGAGCAAGAACG